CAAACGTATCAATCTTGACACAACATTTTAGTCGCCGATTTCAAAAATTGAAAAAAATTCTTAAAAGTATTATTAATTTTGCACCGATTTCAAAAAATTGAAAGGGATTCTTAAAAGTATTATTTCATACTTTTTAAAGTTTTTTTCAATTTTTTAAATACTTTTTAGAGCTTTTTTTGAAGTCGGTTCTATTAAAAAAAAATTTTTTTTATTTTATATTTTTTTAGTGCTTTATTAAATTAACATGAATAATTATTATCGCATATTTCCTTACTGCTCCGTGATGTTCTAGCGCGATATTTTATGTATATACTAAAACCTTCCTGGAGGCTTCTTTAGGACAGTGAAAACCGCATTAGAATCCGTCCAGTAGTTTTAGAGAAATTCTACATACATACACGCTGAATATAGAACCTCCTTTTTTTGAAGTCGGTTAAAAAGGAGAAAGCTAGAAGAAGTCGAATGTCTGCCTCTTCTTTTTCGCCGTTTCCACTCCGTTACCCGTTCGTGCTGCCAACAGCTGACATGGAATACAGACGAAGTTAACAAGGTTGTCAGAATATCATTCGGAACGTTGCAAATAAAAGTAAAAATATAGAGCATCGTCGTGTTTCGAATCGCAATGTAATAAACGAGTCGGCACGTTAATATTGTAAGTTACTTATAATATTACGAATTATTGGGACGATATTACGGGGTTTCTCATTATCGTTTCGGCATTTGCTCACTTCGTTAGCCTTTTGTAGGACAAGTTCAGAGAGGTTTAACGATGTCGTCGTCATGACGGAGGAGAGAATGGAGCTAGCAGTCTGTAAGAAGCTGGGGGCTTTATTAAAGCCTCCTATAATATTAAAGAGGCCAAGAGACTGCCAGTGTCTCGTACGTGCTTATACTGCGCGAATATAACCGCGGTCTCCAGAACGCATTTGGAATATACCGAAACTGTACCTTCTTGTTATACTATGAGATTATATAAAAATATGATCGCATTATTATACGAACGTATATTTCACTGCTATACAGACATATAAATCCACAGAGAAAAATATTATTCTCTCTCAGGATACAAAAAATGTGTTCATTATAAACACAACATGTTACACTTTGATATAAAATATCAAAGTGTAACATGATGTATGACATACTCTTAATTATACCTACCCATATTTCGCAAAAAATAATAATTCAATTCAGTGAAATTGTATAATTCAATTTTTTTTCATCATTTTCTACGACACGTGTAATATCTTGCGGCTTCTCCTGCAACCTCAAAATTATCAACTTCGGTCTATATACGGTCGACCGTAAACGAAAAGCATTTTCATTCAGTTCCCATTGTTATCTACTTTATCTATTTTGCAAGGATGTTTACTGCAGTTGACTCGTTGTTATGGCGTAAGGTAATCACGCTACCGTGTACGTTTTAAACGGGATATTCCCTCTTGGACGTCGTTATACTTCACGGCAATGTTCCCCTGCGCGAGAAGCGTTTCGTCTGCGCTTCAGTTACAACATGAAAGCCGAGTGACCGAGCTGTCGTTTCGTGGTTACGACGTCGTTGCCGTATCGGCGTATATTGCCAGCGAAAGAGACTCCGAGCCTTCGGTCCGCGTCGGTTTCGCAGAAGGGATGAATTTTGCGAGTGCGGAAAGGGGTGGGAGGACATTCGGGAGGATGGGTTTACCCGCAGAGCTCGGTTTCAGGTCAAATTAAACATGAAGCTGCGCGATCGTTCCGACCCGCGTGGAGCGTTTCCTTCACAGGAGATCCAGCGGATCGCGGGATTGAGCCGGGCGCATTCGTTCTGGCCTCGTGCGGTATCCGAACGTTTAATTTTATATCACGACCAGAATGAATATATACCGCAAGGTTGGAAATATTAATGCCGACAGGAAGGGGAGACAGCTACATCTTCATCTCCGTGCATTCGCCAAATGCAGTTGCGAGCAATTTAATGAGTGTTATGTAGCATGTATGAACGCGAATTAACTAACTCGTACGGAACAATGGGACGTTATATTAAAATAATGGCTTGTGTGTGTGATTTACTTGCCTGTTTCATTCGTCCGCGGTATATTCACGAATCAGCTAATTAAAACAGTCATGCTCATTACACGCTCTATCACAGAATAATCTTTCGCTAATGTACAATTGATTGTGACGTTAACCCGTACGGTGGAACTCGTGTATTACTAGAAATTTGACGACTGTTGCACGGCATTACGCGTCATCGTTGATATACATCACTACTTTTCTCTCCCCTTGCCATGTTGCCCGCGGTTTACCGCGTAGAATGATGATATTAATTAATTGTGGGAATATTAGTATTAACATAGATGTGTTCAATTCGCTAAACAAAAGCAAATGTAACAATAATACTTGTCAGAATGCGATAATATTGTATGACTTGTACAAAGCACTCGGAAGCTATGCATAAATATATGAAATTTAATAATAGATTTTCAAACATCTTCGGAAAATAACACAGAAACGAGATGATAACAAGAAATAATATTATTTTGCAGTTTTATAATTTCTGTATGAAATTTGTGTAGCTATTCTGATTCCAGTCAATTATTATTAATACTTAATAATAATGGTCCGTATCTTCGGGGATAAAAAAAGGAACGTAATGATACAAGAAAAAAAAAAGACTTGAAAATTTTAAAGAAGACTAGGATTTCAAATTATCTTGAAATAACGAGCGAACTTTCAAGAAAATGTAGCACTTCATATAATCAATTAAACTCCAGAACGAGTGAGATGCTAATGGAGTTCGACTAAGTATAAACTAGAGCAAACTAGTATCGAGTCGAACGAACGCATCAGCCTTCACTAGTTCATATCTATTTGTGTCGTAAATTCCTCAACTCGTAACTGCGTGACTGTGGAACGTATTCATGTAATAGATCATCATCTCCATGTTAAATATAACTTTTAGTAATATGTTCGTATATATACCTTCTCTTAAGGATGAAAAATAGGATAAGCCTATTAGCTTTCGGAACAGAGATGGAACGTGAAAAGAATTGATGTAAAGTGGATTGAAACAAATGGGCTCTATGACCATCGACGCATAATAAACAATATTTGAGCATTTGTTTATTTTCCGTGTCCCCTCGCATTTGTTTCTCTATCGTTCAATGGCCCATTATTCGTAGTTAAGACAATGCCCTATCGGCCATTTGTCTTTTTTCACAATTGACTGTTATCCCTCGCTATAAATCTGACAGGTACCGAAGAGGCGCGTGAAGGAATCTATCGCAAAGTGGTCATCGTAATCTCTGTTATCTTAAGCAGACCCTTCGGTTATGGTTCCTTGCTCTTCCAGCGGATCCTGCTTCGGACTCGGCTATCATTCCCCTTGACGTTGACGGAGTATTGTTTTCCCGAGCAAGATTTCCTCCGAGTCCACTTGCTGCAGGAGTATGGATAGCGATATGGCAAAAAAAAAAAGAACGAAGTTGTAATGAAATGTCACCTCAGTGTTTGTCTTCTCCGCAGGCTTTGTTTGAATGTTCGTTGTTTGTTTAAGTATTCGATCAAAACCGCGCAATATAAAACAATATAATGTCTCTCGAAGAAGAAGAAGATATTTTAAATGTCGCATTGTTAATATTTCAATACTGCCATTTTTATGCAAAGCATCGAAAGTACATCGTGTATTTTGCTCGTATTTCATACATGTCGTATTTACATATACAATTCACGCCAAATTTGGAAGATAAATGTTAGTTGTTATTCCTCTCTGGTGTTGTTTTGTTATAATTGAATGATTAATTGCATCCCCGTTCTCTCTCGCGTCGCTGAAAGCGTATATTCATCAATGTCTCTCATACCTATAATTACAATTCTCAATTCAATGATAATGTTGACGTCGGTAATGGTCTTTGTTTCATCTTTGAATTATTTGTCAAGCACATCGGGAAACAATATATTTTGCTGGATAAGATGTGAATAATTCACTTTATAGTTAATGTAATCTATTTAGCTTTACGCCACATTATTACAAGTTATTTCAAGCATTTATATCAAATAATTCAAATAAAATTATTGATACTTACAATAGTTGACGAATTCAAGCCAATTAGCTCATATCGATAGTCAGAAAGAGAATATCTAGATATATATTAACTTAATAACATATAATGTTGTAGAAGTTATATGTAAGCGGCTTAACAAACGGGATTCTGACATGTTCTTTCAGAAAGAACTTTTTATGTTAGAAATTCTGATTTCTCGCTATCCTTGCCTCGTAGCTTCTATTCCCCTCGCAGATCGTACACCCGCGATTCCGTGGAATTAATTCGTTAAGAGGTGGGAGGTCGGTCGTCCTACCGTGATAGACGGGGTTCGTAAATTTTAGAGGTACACCTGGTACTCTAGCCCACTAGGGCGGAAGGAAGGAAGGAAGAGAGATGAGTACGGCGAGTAAATCCAGCTTCCGGTAGCAGGTCGGCTTCCCTGGCTAGAGTTGATCCTTGAGAATCTCGGTTATTCACTCGTGCTGGGCTGTCGATAACTTGGACAATCTTAACCCCCGCCCACTTTCTTTTCTCTTTCGCACTTTCACGTGCTCGCTCGTCTTGTCCATCATCTCGTTTGTCACGAAAGAGATCTTTGGTTTGGCTTCACACATCTTCCGGATCAGCCTTCTCGTGTTACACCGCTAAATCCAATATCAGGCTGTCGCTTCTTATTTTCCGAGAGGATCTAGACATAGTCCTCGCCTCTATTGCGCTTCTACTTTTTCTCTTTTCGCTTCTAACAAAAGTGATCCAGGCGAAGAATTGCTTTCGTATAACCGCAACTTGTTGAGTGAAGAGAATTTTTGAAACCGGGCTGAAGTGAGCACTTCAGTTTTTAGCGAGTATAGTGTATAAGTATACACGTATATATACGCGTTAGAGATAAAAATATTCGTATCTCACTTATGTATCGCGGCAACGTCATTCATATCTATCCTTTTTTACTATATTTTATATCATTTCATGTTGCAGGTGACTGGCATCGTAGGCAGAGCGGATGTTCTAGCGTGTATCTTCTTTTTGCTGTCCTTTCTTGCCTATCACGGGTGAGTATATAATTTAATAACTTAAGTTTTTTAGTCTTACTGAAGTTTCCGGCATTTAATCTTCTTTAAGATTAACGAATATGAATACGGATACACGCGGTTTATATAAAATTTCTACTTATACATCTTTTTATACCTATTATGTACAACAAATATAAATTTCAAAGTTTCGCAGAAAGAGAATTTAGCTAACAAGTTAAGAAAAATCCCATACTTATGCTACTTCACGTTTATATATTATCTAAGAGTTAGAATACAGTTGATATACCCTCCTGCAAACTAGGGGAACTTAGGGGCTGCGCATACGTCAAGAATGTCGGGCGACACTTAACGTCGCGACGACGCCAGCCTGACGCCAAAACAGCGACCCATTCGTTCTCATGAACATGGAGCCCGAAAATTATGAACTAAACTAATTTACCCTACAAACTACTATTATAGTTACGTGGGATCGCAAATGTGTCCCGGGTTGCTCGCATCGATCTTCAGCACGAGGGCTAAGAAGAATGACTAAACGCACAAAACAATTTCAATTTATACATTTCTAAAGAGACATTATTCTCGCAATATTCATTTTACGGTAGATATACGTCTGCTACTTCTGGGTCTAAATTTAATTAATCGTAAAAGAAGCTTAATTAGAAACTTTAAGTAAATTTCATTAATAAACTGCACGGAGAAGCCTGACATGGCGAAAAATCTGTAGAGACAGACTCGATTGTGAGAGCATAAAAAGTTTCCGTAGAGGTCGTACTCCAACATAAAAGAGCGTTTGCAGAAGACAAGAAGGTAAAACTCCGTCTGTAGGGCTGGCCAATGGTTGGGCGGCCAATGGCTGGCGGAAGGGTAAGATGCTTGTCTTCGAACCTAGGAAATTGATTACTCTTGGCTGCCTTTGAGTACTCTTTCTCTTTCGTTTCCTACCACCTTTACTTCATCACCCCGCGCTCTATGCTTATCTACCTTCTTTTTCCTTTTTATTTAACTGGTGTCTCTTAGTTCCTCCGCCTTCAATTCAGTCTATCAACCATCCCACGCCTCGCTTTTAAATCCTTCGGCGATTAAGCCGACCGATGATTAATTCCAATTATATATTTGGCTTATCGTCAAGACTCTCGTTATTCTCTCGACTCTCGATCGCTTTTCTTCTCTATAGAGTGTATTCTCATTCGCGCGAGAGTGTATTCTCTCCGCCATTACTGCGGCGAGTTACGATTAATCTTACTTAGGGAGCTTTGATGTAAATTGTAAGAAACACTTCCATTTTGCCGCGGCCTTTCTACCTCGCTTTTATGAGCGGGTTCTCGAGAAGTCGCAGTCTTGTCTCAGCGGACCAGTCTCGCATTGGTCTCTCTCTCTTTCTCTCTCGTTGTTCCTAAAAATCCCGAAAGACATCTTGGAACGGATCTGTCATTCAACATAGATTGATACACATGCCAACCGACGTAAACGAATAAATCCTACACGTCTTTGGATCAATGTTTTTGATGAGAATTGTTTCCCGATACCGACGTTTTTATTCGACCCGAGAAGAGAACGATATATTGAAAATATCATGAAATACATCTGTATAAGCACAAATATAGTTGTATTATTAAAGTATTATTTCTCACATGTATAGCGGTTTTGATTATAATACTTGTATATAATTCTTTTATATTAATTTCTTAAATAAAAATCTTTTACAAAGAGATTACAAATTCTAAATATAAATAATTTTTTGTATCTTTTATATATATTTGTAATAATAAAAAATTACAAGACATTAAAATTATAAGGCGCTCGTGTACTTAAATTACGTTAATTTTTAACTTTATTAATTTTTAGCTTTAATGTTGTATAATATTTGAATAAAGGTATAATAATGGAAATCCGTCATATTTGAAAACTTGAATCACGGTAATCGATTTGTGTGTTTTAGTACATAAAAATTCGATCCAATTATACAATATATCTTTTGGTCTAATATTCAAATATTTGTTTTTTTTTTATAGTCAGCAGACGGCGTACGTATGGTCCAGCGTTTGCCTGGGTGCCCTATCGATGTTGGCGAAGGAAACTGGCGTTACTGTTCTGGTACTAAACCTTCTTTACGATCTCTATCGTTCCTGGCATTCAATCAAGAGGTAAGTGTTTAAGTGCTCGATATTGGAGCGTGGTGCACGTTACGGCGAAATGTAAGGTTTAATGTCTTGAGGTAAACTTTAAATTGATATAGCTGTTTTGATTTCAGTTACTTATAATACCTCAGAATCAATAAGATTAATCTAGGATATTTGTGTCGCGTTCGAAAAATGAGGTATTAGACGAGAAAGCCATGCATATAAAGTATTACGAAGTTTATTCGCTCCGCATCGGAAATCACCGTCAATTTCATGTCGCATGTCCCAAAGCGGTAAATGTGCTCCTCGTGACGGTAAAAAATACGGCAAAAATATTTCGACGTGTTTAAGTTCCGTGTCGAAACGCAAACACTTTTCAAACATTGACTAGGTGCACTATTAATCATACATAGTGATAGTGGCGCAATGTTCGACACATTTTTTTGTATTCACGACGACAGATGTATAATATAATCTGCAATACGAAAAAAGTCACTGCACTAGATACATGTATTTTACAGGTCTATTTTCGAAGTCAAGTGGAACGACGATTCTAGATATTTTTCAAGACGTGCTGCACCGTTACTCGTTTCGGTAAGTTGAGATAAACTTAGTACAGTATCAAGTAAAGTCGCGTCTGTACTTATATGTAATAATGAAAACACGATAATTGCCTCTGTTATAATTATATTGCCCTCAATTTCTCGACTTATAATACGCTGAAATAATGTGAATATATCGTGATAAAATCCTGTGTCTCAATTTGGCGACACATATTCATACATTACTGTCACTTTAATATTAGCTGAATCAATCCTAAAGCTGAATATTCCTAAAGGATTAAGAGGAAAGAATGACTCCATTTGCAATATAGATGAATGGGTCAAAGAGGATTGAAATACTCTCAACGCATCATGTACATTTGGTCGTGCGTGGAAGTCCCATAGGATTTTCAGACGAGTGTGGGAAGAGCGACTGGCTTTGTTATTATTGTATTAACGACAATGTCTGCGCTTCTGGTATCCAGGGAATTGCAGGGATGTCCATGACTATATTTATCCTTTTAAGTCCGTGCACCCTCAACTTATCACGTAACTGGATTAACGGAAAAATCAAGCTTCAGTAAGCCTCGACGGCAATTGAGAGAGAAGCATATTGTATAATATTGATTTATCCTTGATTGTTTTATTCAGGAAATTTATCGAAGGTATCAAGAAGAAGAAGAAGAAGATAAGAATTTTGATGAAGTGATCGCAGACTGCTGCAAATGTGTATTCACGTATTGTTGTAACGTAGTACTCGGCTGCTAGTACTCGGCGTTATACTTAAAGGGGACTACCCTATACGTATTAAGAGAGAAAACACGATCGTCCCTCTTCTATAATCCGCGGAATTAGCGCGGATCCTTTATTCCGTGTCCGCATTAATTCTTAACGACCGATATCTTTCGTTTTTATCGCCCGGCTATAGTCAGACATCGATGTTTACAGCAACTCGTGCCTTAAGCAAATTTAACGATCGTTACCATAGATACCCTCGACGTAGAGAATTTCCCTTTACAGTCGTGGAAAATAAATAACATTCCCCGAATTGCTATGCAACACAAGACAAACTGTGCAGCAAACGAAGCGTGGGATGAAATAGCGGCAGTTTCAAAAGATCAACAGAATGATATATGATTCGCATAAATGGCTATTGTATACCGCTCGGCAATCGAAATAATGGCACGGGTTTACTACCGGCATACACGATAATAATCAGCTTTCTCGTAATTAATTTTGTTAAATGACAGCAATAATTCAATGCCAAATTTATCTTTCTTCAGGATTCATTTAAGTTAAACATCATTTTAACTTGAGTACACTTCAAAGAAGCGAAAAACTTGCACGGTTTAATTTTGATCGAACGTTTTATGCGTTTAATTTGAAATCCTCTTTGAAACTTGATTTTCAAACAGGATTTAAAGTTTTTGCGAATAGTAAAGCTTTTAAGAAGGCTCTCTCTTTCTAGCAAAATCCACGCAGGCGTGAAGTGCCTTGAATCTTCAAAGGAGTCTCAAGTTAAGTGGTAAATTTTATCGATAAAAAATGTGAATTTCTTGTATTTTCGGCACGAATCCATCGAGGTCATGCTAGTCGACGACACCGTAGGGTGTAACTCCTAAACGGAGTTTACGAGATGCTATTAAATTCTCGGCGCTTTACTAGCGTTGATGTTCATACCTAAGAAACGTCAGCTCTTGCGGCGCCGGCGCTCATCGTCTTTATTGTCGCGAATTAATTTAGACGGCGTCGTATTAAGTATCCTTACCAACACGGGAAAGCGTTCGATAAAGATAGCATATCTCACACAATCAGTAATGGTTGTGCTGTAACGTATCCATTACCAAACAGGCCAAGCAGGCATTGTATTAGTTATCAAATTTTGACAATTGTGAAATGATATATAAACGAACAACAATTCTGCAATATTAATTTTTTTTATAAGTTATATTAATAATTCTGTAAGTTAAGTTTCTATAAGAGTAAGACTGTTTTTGAAGTAACAGAGTTTCAAGTTGCGCATTAAAATTCTGTAGCGTATAATTAGTCGGTAAACTCAATTGTATAATTTCCCTCGGTGCAGGAATTGCTAAATAATGTATTTTGCCCTCAAGACGTATTGTGGTAAGTCAGGGCAGCACGACCCGTCACGTGGGCCAATGCGGGAATAAAGGTTGCGCATGGAAAGTACTTTAACCGAACACGATTCTGAGTTATGCTAATTTATGCTGCCGAACGAGGGAGGCGTGCTTGCACACGACCTACCTTCACACAGTTATCTACATATCCCGGATCTCTTTCCACCCCTGTCGTTTCCGCCATCCCGTAGCACTTACACGCCCTCAGGTACGTCGTTCTCAACGATGCTTCTCAGTCTTCATCGCCGGCAAAGACCACTAATATCCTAGAATAGAATACTGTACTATTTAACTAACGTTAAATGTAATCTGTCAGATTTACAGATCTTTTATTCGAGCAAATTGAGATAAGAACATTATATTTTACTTGCAAAATAACATTTCATTGTCACTTATAAATTAAAGTTGCTAATGATTTATGTTTTTAGAGAGAAATTTCAAGTAATTTGAAATTCAAGTTCTTTTAAATCGTTAACAAAACTGACTGCACTAAAATATTATCGCTATTGCATCAGAAGACACGCGCGCGAAAGGCGTGTATCACACAGCTAACGTCTAAGGTGACAAACCTAATCAATAGGCCAATCTATTAGAGAGAGAGAGAGAGAGAGAGAGAGATGCGCTGTTTACTGATTGTACATCGCTATGCTCACTGTTATCTGATTGGCTTAACGCTTAACTCTCGCTTGTATTACACTCCCTTAAGATACTACTATCAAAGACAAATTACGATCGAAGCTGTTCCACCAGCGGCAAGAAATGCATTATCGCGATTGCTTTCTTCATCATTATCGAATTAGTCAATAATCAATATCTAATCGAACATATTAAAAGAATGCATTTTCGCAAAGAGAAAATGCATTCTTGATCTTAATCTTAAAAGAATAGCGAATATTAATCCGTAGAATGTACCGTAATTTCTAATAATTTTATTATTTCATTGCTACTGTATTGTTACTGTACTTGATCATTACATCGCAAAGCGTTACGATTGTGTATTCATCTCCGGTTAAAAGTTTGCAACGTCGAAAAAAAAAGCTGCATCAATATGCGATACGACATTTCCCGCGCATCAGATATTTATCGGAATTGAATTTCCGCCCCTCTCGCCGTATTCCGCAGGTCAGCCGGGAGATCTTCGTGGTGGCGTAATACAATATTCCAAGAGCTTCCCATCGAAGAACAAGGCCGGCATTGGTGTCGGACGTCTCGACAGAACGCGGCGTTTCGATGACGGCGTTAGGTATATATACGACGTGTTCGTATGACCGCTTAGGACGGACGCTACCCTCGTCTATCGACTTCGATCCTGAAGGATATGAATACCTCGAATTGGCAGATATTGTCCGACTCTCCAACCCTTCCAGAACCACTCACCGCCGTGTCTGTCCGCCGACAAGAATGCGAGCGAGAGAGGCCCCGACGTAGATACAAAGGCGGAGAGACAGTGAGAGGGCCAACGACGCCCCCGGATAACTCCGGAATAAGGGATAGAGAGTGGTCTATCGGAGGATGGCACGGACGTCTATTGGGTTAGCGAGCTCTGCGGAGGACGTGACGGAAATGTGACGACGGTCCCGTGTCATCCCCTGCGTGAACGTGACGACGTCTTGGCGCAAGAGAGAGACTGCGAAGCGACTCTACCCTTCGTTCTTTGCTATTCAGACCCGCGAATCGTGTTACTTAATTAAACCATTTAGCGGAACGTGACTGGTGCGTCGCGTCCCGTCGACTAGTAACATTATTGCGAGACGTATTACTAGCTTCCTCGCCACGTATCTTACAGATGATGAATAATTAACGTAAAGAGAAAATTGTATCATGTGGACACGGCATACGAATGCGCAATTTTGCCTTTGCTGTCTGCTCACTTTTCAACCATTAACTCTACTTTGATTCACTTCACTGCATCGTAATAGTTTATGTGTTTCTGTATTTACGCGTCTCTACCTATGTTAGTGAATAAATAAGTTGAGTAATGCTTATTTATATAATAATGCTGAACAAATTCTGAGAGACTGCTTGTTGAAAGCACCGTTCCAGCTACTTTGTTATTTCATTTTTTTGTTATATAAATACAAGAATATAATGGTAATTTATGACTGAATTATGATGGAGTATAAATGTAAAACATAAGAGTTGCAGTTGTAAATAAATACAATAAGAGCGCATTTTAATTAAAATATAAGAGACACTTGATTTATTCACGTTTAATATTCACATACGGCTGTGTAAAACTTTTTATATGTGACGATTTAATTTTTTCTCTTTGTTAGCAAAGTATTAAGAAAGTAAATTTGTTAAATTAGTTTAAGCATTAGTTTAAATATTACAGAAGTTTTCAAATCTACATTTGTCATAAAGTATATCTGGACATTTCCATAAGCACTCGAAAAATGTGTCTCTGCAACAATATGAAAATTTATCGACCATTTAATGTTTGCAGTTTAGCATACTTTTTGTGGTACGGCTCGCTCTACTTCATGGTACTTTGCCGAACTTCTCCGCACAGGATAATCCAGCTGCTTTTCATCCCTGTTTCCACGTCAGGTGAGTATAAATCCTTTATGTTACGCGAGTCGCGACGTAGAATCCTATTACAACGTTTCAAAACTCGCAGCGATTGAGAACGACTGGAAACTTTATACCATTGTCCCTCGTTGAGGAGTAACGTATCGCGTATACGTGAGATCAAAGTGTTGGATGACAATGGAAACAAGACGACTTTATCCTTTGATCTGATTCAGCCCGTATTCACCTCTCGCCCCGGTGCTTTCAACAGTTGGAAACATTTAAGCTGCCATACTGTTTTGTTTGTTTGCTCTCACACCTCTGCGAAAGAATGTATTCTTAGAGCAAATCGGCCATTTATCCGATTACTTTCACGAAACTGACATAAAATGAAAGAGAATGGACATTTATACGGATATATATGGATGCATCGCCAATTCTGTGATCGTTACGAACATAGGAAGGAAAATAGAATACTTTTTTATATACTCATATAATATTTCTTACATTAATTCTCCGAGAAAGAGAGATCATCTAGATAAAGACTTCTATCTTTTATTCATTCCATTCATTTATACTTGAGTTAAAATGTCTTCTAATGCAACATCCTGAGGTTCAGGAGTGTTAGTTGACTGTCAGCCGGAGAAAGATTTTCGATTCGTGCTCGGATTAAACCGGAAGTCTGGTCTGCCCAACTTTTCTACTCCTCCAATTGCCTGTTTGCAACAGATTCGCGCCGCGTCCCGCTGGCCCGATTCGAGTCCCACCCTCAAAGAGTTTCGAACGCGATGCAACTTTTCGATGCTACTCGAAAAATCTCTCAGTTGATCTTATCGAAGACGGTACTGGCGATACCGCGCGATTCGCAATTTTAATCCACTCGATAACCTCTCGAGACATTTTCTTCTATCGTTTCTAGAAGTTTTCTTGGTGGCGCATTATAGGCGTTCGAAGAGAATTCTGAAATTGCGGCGTACGCTCACGAAAAATTTTCTAATATATGATCCGATTTTACGGCTCACTGAACATGTCCAGTAAATCCGATTCCGCTATATCCCGTAATTCAACGATATCGCATGACCGCCGCGTATCTATTACGTCTCACAAGGAACGGACGTGTCCTGACGTTTCACGTAGATGGAAAATGGAAATGGTCGCGCGATGTGATTCTCTCGACGCGACACCGCAAAACTTCCGTTCATGACGAGACTACGAAACACATTCACCTCGTAGAGCTCTTTTATGGCAAGAGCACCACGGAGACGGAGCGGTCTTTTTCACGCTCGTAAAAAATTATCTTAATTACAGAAGCGCATATTTCGAAGCAGTCATAAACCTAATGCAATTAGTCTCCTTGCTCTACAAAATTAATTAGTTATACCATTACATTTTCATAATAAAAGCTGCGTTTCTGTACGTTTCTTTCACGTGATCGTGTAATCTGACAGTATGATTCTCCTCTTTCCAACGCGACTGATGAAGAAACGCTAATTAAATACGGGCATTCTATAGACGCGCTTTCGTGTCTCACTGACGATACGGAAATAGAGCTGTGAAGAATGGAAATTTTAGTTATTGCTTTAAAAAAGGAAATGTTTGATAATTTTAGCACATTAAGAAATATTGTTTTGTTTCCATCATTGTACCCTACCGTCTCTGTGACATATAAAAACGTATTGGAGTGGTGTTCTGTCCTCTTGCGAATTACCGCCGTATTTATTCATCTTCCTTCCCCGGTACAATCCCAGCTTTCCACCCTCTTCGCTTTCCCGCGGTCGAGTGAAAGGAAGAAACGAACCGGAGGGAGATATTAGGCGAAATACTTTCAAGCTGTCTTCTAGAAACCGGGCGGGAATATTTTACGAGATGTATAATTTGGCTGGATGTACGTCGTTCTGCAGAATTTACGATCGCGCAAGCCTACATCGGACCAGCGTTTCGGTATATAGCGCTCCACATCGTTCAAAATTATATCCTCCCTCCGTGTTATTCCAGTCCCTTGTCCCCCGAAATATCCTCCTCGTCGAACGCGCACATGCGGCGCACGCGGCGGCACGTGTCCTTTGGGTATGACGCTGCAACTTGAGGAGATTTGCCGGCAGAATGTCGTAGGTCGCGCGCGTGGAGTTTCCACTCTAATTCAGTTATATGTTTACGAGGTTCCAGAAATACCGGGCGACATATTTGCGATCGCGTGTACCGCTCGGCCGCTCAGGTGGTTACTCGGTTAGACCCTGCGGTGCTGCTGGGCGATTAATACGGTAATTTAAGTTTAAGCTTGTTAAGCGGACGACTGGCGCGCGTAACTCTGATGCGCGAGGCGCTAATCGCCGCTAAATAGGCTACGATATAAATCATCCCGCGCTCGTTCGTTATTAACAAGGGCTTCGCAACGCGTAATTACGACTTCGCTGCAACGCAAGATGCGCCTATACCGCTTCAATCTTGCTCCGCGCCACGTAAGATTCGCGATTTTACATCGTCGTGCGACATCAACTCCCTTATCCGAACACGCTGTCAATTTTACGAACGCATATCCAATGTGCTACATCATGCACCAGGTAATTGACTAAAATCAAGGACCATGTTTTATGACGTGACGCGCACACTGACACAAATGTTGTATTTATAGTACCGAGAAAATCTTGTGTCTATATTACTCAAAGATTCGATGTAAATGTGCGACAACATCTTCAAACGAATCTTAGGAGAAATTCACTGTCGAGAGTAGCGAAAGAGTGTATTAGAGGTTTCCGCATCAAGCTTGTACATGGTAAATGGAATCGTTAAAGGGACCCTCCGGTTACGACAGACTCGCGTATATACCGTACACGATCTTCGCAGTGATTAATTCCACGTCGAGTCCGCCCCGTCGTGTCTCGGTCTATTGCTGTACCCATGTGCAATGATATTATGGGCGCCATACGCGTGTCATATCCACCGTAGCCTGCGCCAGCTTTGTCGTAAAATATTAACACGCGGTAGGTAGACTTCGTAAGACAATACGAATGTTACTACGAGAGCGAGATTTTTCTCAATAAAGATGCTCCCGTTTCATATTGAGTTCGTCATGAAATATGACGCAGTCTACAACGAGATTAGAGATATAAATTGATGATAAAATTGCATAAAATAGCAATAATCAAATTATTATTTGGGAGTCTCAGCTGTATATTTAATTACGTCGATGATAAAATTCATTGAGTTATAGAGACGTTATCATAAATATTAATAGTAATACATTTTTATTTTATATTTATTTTACATGATAATTATGCTTGCTGAAGTAATAATTAAAAAATGCAAATATACACATGTTGTGCTGTTGTATGTATTACGAATATTTTAGCGTTTCAAATCGAGATTGGCGAATAATTCTTAATCACTATTAGGGCAGAGATTGAATTGTGTATCAAATAAAGGTATGTAACGTCGTTATGATAACGACGATGGAACCAGTTCCCCGAGGTTACTGCAAGACCTCATTGTGTTCTTTAAATCGCCGCAAGAGTTCATTGGAATTTATGCAGCATAGTAACTTGAAACTTCTTCTTTACGTTTGTACGTTTGGAATACTCTTGGGAGATTTATAAGTTTATAAAACAGCTTACCTCTTAGGAACTGCGGAATATCCCAGAAAATAGAAGGAATACGCTATAAATGGTTAACGTAAGTTTCCTCGTAAAAAGATTGTTCCACTTTCCTCTCCGTTTGATTTCGATATCTCTTTTGTTTCTTATGGTGTCGTAACGCGCGAGTATAAAAAATTTATGTGTATTATAAGCAACATTTACGATAATACGCGTAAAATAAAACAGAAAATCTTTCGTCCTGTGAATTTGAATTATACACACTGATACATACACACAGGCTAGTCCTTGATATGTACATCAACGAGACGTTATCCACACATGACAGAGTGCACTTTGAATTTTTATCAATATCTGTGATAGAGAAGCGTTAGAATAATCATGCACAATTCTATTCAATCGCATGTTTTGTACATTGAGAGTAAATCCTTTTTTTCGACACATTTACTTTATTCAATATGTGAATGACAGTAAATTGTCGAAATTCGAAATATTCTTAACAATAGAGGGAAATGTTGCTGTCGATTACGCTTGTTGGATTTTAAAATCGAATATAAGAATCATTGGATTCACGCTAAAATTCAGCGAGAGCTAGTCGAACCAAGTTGTCGCGTATTGACGTGATTTTCTCCAAGAAGGATGTTGAAACTCACTTTCATATTTATGAGCTACGTTATGCGGAAATGCAAACGTATGCAGCACCAGTCATTTACGGTGCACTGACAATCATGCACGAGCGATGGAACTTCATGCATGTGATAGCGATAGAGCGTAATATAACGCCTCTCGCTCTCTCGCTTCTATTTCCATCGCTGTATGTATAATAGCATGTCTTTATGACGTAATCCTTTGACCGAGAATATTGTTACGAGAAAATTTGTATCTGCGCTCTCACGGCCATTTTCCTGAAAGTCCTGTTCAATCATCTTTGAAGTATTACTCTCTGTATTTTAATATCGCGTATCTCAATTTGTTCGCATAAAGTATTTTGCTGCATATTGCAAAATAGCGGCCTTTGAAAATACTTTGTAGTGCTTATTATTTCGCTCTGTCTCCATAGATCCTAAAATCTTGTGGATGAATAAAACTGTGATTTTGTCAGATAAAGCGTCGGAGTTATATAAAATATAATTCCGATTTTATTGAAGGCTTCAAATCTCGTGTTAGCGCGATCGAATAAAATATATAGAAGATATCCTTATCAATCGAGAGTGAAAAATAGTGAAACTCATGCTCATTGTTTTCCGTCTGGATAATCTATCGAAGCGTTAAGTCTACAGATCAGTTTCCGTGCGGATGTCTCATTGCCGGTTGATTAATTCTTATAATCGGAAGTTTCCGCAGTAAATGGCGCTAAGCTCAAAGCTCTCGCATTTTTCCTTTTTACGTTAGAATCGAAGGAAAGTGGTTTCCCATTCATTAGTTCAAATTGATCCGTGTATTTCGTTA